AACTGGTAGAAGTAGAAATTCACAAATTTCCAAATGTACAAATTCACAAGTATGCATTTAGTGCCTATGTTCAACCACCATAAAAAAATTACTTATCATCTTGCAAAAAGTCCTCACAAGAAAATTATGAAAAAAAATCAAATCCTGGATACGTTCAGTACAAGAAATTACATGAACTAGCAGAGTTGTCCTAATGCTCCGCCTAAGCTCATTGAGTATACAACAGAAGTTAAAGCCTAATGCCCTAATACTACATTACCACATCACCGTGGTCTGATTAAAGTTGACACAATAGCTATGGGAAGAGATGAAGCCGAGTGTTCACGGGAAGCGTGGATTGCACTGCCGGTAACTACCAAATAATACTCAATTTACATCCACTAGGTCTCAGCTGAAGCGAGAAAAATCCTGGGCTGAGAAAGAGACTGACCGAGCTGAAGACGTTCGTGTGTCCTCCCGGTGTATAAGGGTAAGAGCTTTTTCTTTCAAAACATGGGACCAGCAGTACTGCTCAGAGCTGTTAATCAAAGCCCTCTCTCTGCTCAGACATAAAAACATTTGTAGATAGTGGTAGACAGAGTGCAAGCTTCCCATCTCTATCCAATCAATACACAACCAGCTTAATTCAAAACGATCTTTGTTCTAGGCGAGAGAAGACACAAAGCTGTAACTTGGATGACAGTGCTCATTACTGACAGCAGGGGGTTCAGTGCAGGGAGAAGCTGGGGGGTTTGGGGTTTTTTTTCAAAGACATTTGTAAACCAGCAGGCGCCCTGCGCTACCACCCAATTCACACACCTCGCCGGACAGCGATTGCCACTTCCAGTAACTATCAAACTAGAATGGATTTCAACCTAGACTAGAGAAGGACCTAGAAGAGAGAGATTCACACCATTACCAGTGCTCACGCCATTACCAGTTCTCAGGGCCACACTACAGCAACAAAGCAAAGTGCTCCAAGCCAGTCTTCCAAAGAGTTTATCTTCATATCTGGGGAAGAACAGAAACTACCTATCGTCTGGGTTAGATCCCAGACTACTGGCTGGGTTGAGTTTCCTGAACACAGCTGATCCGTGATTCCGTGATCATGCGTAAGCAAACAGCAAACAAACATTTAAGATGGAATAAGTCAAACTAAAGTGAAGGCTGCTGCCAAAACACGAACTCCCACCCTCTCCCCCCACGAGCTTCCTGCTGCCTTATTTCAGCTCACAAGAAACACACTGAACTAGACTTAGAAGAGAGGGGGAGAGGAGCCTCCAGCGCTCCGAGAGTGAGCGGTAGCCAAGCCACGTCCGGTGCAAGAGTCCCGAGAAAGCTGCCTTAGATTGAAACCACCAGTTTGGGCTGAAGCGATGCGCACGAACTTCCAATGCTACCACCCTTCATTAATTTCCTTTGACACAGAAAACATTTACCATGCGGGCAGGTAAACTCTGCTTGTCCAAATTAAGCGCATCTGTATGCAGTCCTGCTTTAATCTGCATTTCCATAGAAACCTAATTGTGTATTCCTCTTCCCATAAAAACCGGATTTAATTCTCACTCAGCAAGTTATGAGGCAGCAGGAAAAAAATGTTAAAAGTAAAACCACTACAACCAGCTTTGTTGCTCTCTGCTTATTTTAGAAATCAGTGTAAGTACAGCAATCTTAATTTAAATATTCTGAATTTAGCAGCAACTTGTCGGTAAAACTCGGTGCATTTGAAATCTTTTTATTTAAATCAAGTTTCATCATCTGGTTGCTACTGAGGCTGTGAGATTTAATACAATACACAAAGCATAATTCCAACCCTCTTGTGTTAAAAATATTCTTTAAATAAATAATAGATCAAAGCAGTGTCACTTTGATGGCATATGTAGTCCATGAAAGCAGGAGACGAAGGATTAAATGTTTTCAGAGCGGTCCTTCCGGATGAAAGGGAGGGGGGGAAGCAAGTGAATGTTCAGTTATTTTATCTAGATTTATCACTCATTACTTTTCTCATTTGATTCTTCCCTCTCATTAGAATCCTGCCTTCTAAAGAACCTTCAAGTTCACATGAACTCTGGGGGTTTTAGAGCAATGAAGCAAGATGAAAAAAAGAGTCATTCCATTCCCAAATCTTAGTGAATCATTTCCTATAACTACAGTAAAGCTAGGATCACTCCCTAGGACTACTCAAGATGATGAATAAGGGCAAAATCCGCCACTGCCCGTGGTTTTTCATGATTCACGGGGAAAAAATGGCAGACATCTACTTGCAACTCGGGCAAAAAGAGACTCGGTTTGGTTAACCTTTGAGAATTTCTTGATTTAGAGATAGGCTGGTGTGTTTAAATACAGATAATCATTCCCATCCTAAGCTCTGACAAGTTAATTTCTCCAATTCAACATAATGGAATGCTTTCCACTCTCCCAACTCACACCAAGAGGTATATCCCCTCCAGCCCTCAAGAAAAATCTCCTTCAATAGCATCTTGAAGATAAGAGCGTGTCTGAATTCAGTCAGGCCTGGCTTGCGGAAAAAGGAGGCAAGAGACAAGAAAAGGAAGGTGAAGTCAATTGGGGAATGCAACAGCCCCGCAGTCAGGTTGAGACCGGAGGGAAGCGACTACGGGCTGCTTTTCATTTGATTAGCAGCTACAGCCAGACGTCAGAGGCCTTGTGTGCTGACCAAAACGCGCATGGCTGCCACACAAAATAACACAAAATTCTGATCACTGGGGAATAACGCTCTAGAGCAAGGAGAAAAAAAAAAAAAAAAAAAAAAAAAAAAAAAAAAAAAAAAAAAAAAAGAGGAAGAAGAAACATTCTGAAGACAGCTAAAACAACAAGACGAGACGGATAATTGATTTATAATGCCAGAGAGCATATAACAAAACAGTTAAGTGAAATAACTGGGGGAAAATATTTAACAAACGTCATTTTCCATACAGAATTCTGAACACCCCCCTTCACCATCTGAAGTTCTGATAAGCTTGTTGTATCACATCAAATGCTAAGGAAACATTCAATGATAGCTAAAAAGTTGAATAAAATACAAGACATGAAAAATAACTGTTAAGATTCAAAACTAATGAGATTGAGCATTCCCAAACCAGCTTCTCTTCCTCTCTCGGACGTCTTTATGTGCCTTCTGTATATTCCTATGAACCTGCTCTTAAGCAAAAAGTAATCATACACCAGGGCAAGTTTGTCCAAACAATACCTGATAAAGCTGTCCAGATACAAATGACATATGAGCAGCACCAGTGGTCCTGGTAGAAAGAAAAGTTATTTGATTCAAGCTGACAGGGAAAACAGAAGGACTAAACAGAAAAATTTGGATTTGCTCTTATTTCTTTCATTTACAAAAATAAGACTCAGTGTCTCGGAGAATGATGCAGGGCCTGATTTCGCTAAGCTCATTCACAGCGAGTAGCACGCTATTTTGTGAGAAGTACACCGCTGACAGCACAGAGGACTCTGAGAAGAAGAAACTGCAACTCCATAGGAGTACGGATGGTAGGAACTGGGCTTGACAATCGCGGTAACTGCTGCTCTCTTCTTCGTTGAAACAATTCTCTTTAGCTGGAACATGCACACGAAACGTTTAGCAACCAATATGGAGAAGACAGCTGATTACTACCACTTTACTCATGCTTATGCTGTACAACCTATTGATTGCCTTGATCAAGTCAATGTCATTCCCAATTTAGAAAAAGACAACTTTGCAGATCGGGAAATAAGTGAACAGGAAGCTTCACAGGAAGGCAGAGGGATCACTAAAATAGACAAGCAAGCTCATCACACCTCCACAGTCTACTAGAGAAAATTCTCTTCTTTGCCAAAACCCTTTAAAGATGACATACCACATAACTTTGTGTTCTGTGGCTCATTTAAAGTACATCCAAAAAACCCCTCAATTCAACCCATTGATGATCTGCCAAGTCAAATTTTCAGTACATGATTCTACTCAGTCAAACGATTCTGGTTCAGCCAGAGCCTTCCCCAGAAACTTCCAAGAACTATAACCATATAGGCGAACACCCCTCTAGGAACTTAGACTGACGTATAGCATCCTTGTGCCTGGTCATAATGCCTCTGGAAACAAATTACAGGGTGGAGTTTCAACAGCAGTTCCCAAGTTATTCCACAGTATTACAAGAGGGATCATAAACATAACAGAAATTTGGTCACCAAAAAAACCTCCTACATAAACCCAAAGTTATGGGGAAAGCAACTTTGAGACCTTACAGACCTCTGCAACCCAAAGCAGATTCCAGGAACAGAATGAGGGGAGCAGATTATCCGTGGCATTTCTTCGGCACTTTGTTTGTTTGCTTTTAACTTAAACGTTTAAGTCCGGACATAGACACAACACAGGATTCAAGACACCTTGGCAGGGATCTTTCTGTGACACACTTGGCTTTATCAGTTTAATATGCAACGTATCTTCAAACAAAAGAGAAGCACCTTGCTTTAATACAGCAAGCGCTTCATCTAATAACTATTTTCTGCCTGCAAAATCGCATCATCTCAGTTTCCCCACACGCAAAGAAAGCCCTAATTTTATATTCCGCATAACGTGCTGGTGGCAAACTTCAAAACCACAAAGCTTCCCTGCATCTTCACCACTAGACAACTGTAATGACTACATTTATTGCACCTTGTGCTTGCATCATTAACCTGATGATCCAGAGAGCTCTTTAAGACCTCATTAATTTCATTGCCTTTCCCGAAACAGGCCAAGTACCCAAATTTCATTTAAAGAGCTTAAATGAGGGAGCTACTCAAAGTGTGTATCACCATGCACTTGGAATTGGTACTTTTGACCCATCTGCGTGTTTGCTTCCCCCAATGCCATAGGACAGGCACACAAACTAAAGGCAAGTTGGACTGCCGGATCAAGTACCCCGCGTTTTACTTGAAAATAGTAAGTGAAGTACAGCAGCCCTCTGAGCACCTCCTCCTCCCTTTTCACCACCTGTCCCCCCCCCAACTCCTCCTCCAAAACCCACCCTGCCCTTGAGCATTACCCGGTCCTTCATCCTCCAGCTCTGCGCCAAAGACTTGGAGCCTTCGATCTTCTCGCAATGCCTTTTCTTCATGAAGGCCAGAGGCAAGTTCCAGTCAGTCAGGTCAGACTCATCCTCCTCCCCGAGCCCCAGGAGAGGCGACTGCAGCATCTCAGACTCCATCAGCGAGGAAGCGCCAGGCAACAAGTGAGCCCAGCAGGCAGCGGGGGCCGAGGGATCCCTCCGGCAGCGGGAGGCGGGGGGGAGGACGGGGCAAGGGCAGCGGGAGGCTCCGCTCCCAGGTGGGCAGGGAAGGAGGAGCCCGGGGGAAGCAGCGCCTTCCAC